TTCTCTCAATTTCACCTCACACTACCTATTTTTTTTTTTTTTACCTTGCCAACGTTTTGATCCTGCCTTTCCTATGCTTTGATTGTTGAATTCTGGATTTCCTACGTGTCCCGGTTGTCCGATGGTAGCTAAACATTTTTGACAAGTTACAGAGAAGGTGACAAGCAAGCATATATAGTATATACTCCACTCCATACATACCATTCGCTCACGTTGAGACCGCCTTTGGGACATCTCCACAGGAGCCATGCAGATGACACAGTCTATTCCACACCCATCCTCGGCGCCTACACCTTGAATAGTGCTTCGATCAACGCTTCTGAAGTAACTGTATCGTTCAGGCAGGCACTGCAGCAAGGGACACAAGTTCACAAAACCACCATGAATAGATTTGACCGGGTAATCCTCACAGACCCGGTCTTTATGTGGGGTATCCGCCCCCCCTTGCTGTTATATTGGAAATGACAGGGCTGTTTGGAAAAAAAAAAAAAAAAAAAAAAAGATTTTGCCAGAATACATGTCAGGAGTCAGGACCATGATCAAATGACCAAGGCTGCTCCTGATCCTTTTTTCCACCAGTTCACACGAGCCTAAGTAAAAAAAAAACACCTTCCAAGGCCCCCTACGCCTGCACATGCATCTTCTCAAAGTGGCCTGTTGCTTTCGCTACCAGCCCAGCCCCAGATCGAGATGCTCCTACGGAGTCCTACCATGTAACCCAGCAAGAGAAGTACACTCTGCTTCGGATGAACTGCTGGTTTAAACAGGTCCTTATGGCCCGAGCTACTTGTCCATTCTGGGGAGCAGCACTCCGGTTGCTATTGCACCGGTCCTTATGGATGTTCCCGACTCTCAAGCAACATGCAGAGTACAGAAGTATAAGCTTGTGACTTGCAGCCAAGTGCTGTTGTGCCGAACACAAACAGTGCCCCAGACATAGATAGCCGAGGCTGAGCTGGGCATAAACATCTTAAATTCTCTCGTATGAGATGTTGAGCACCCAGCGAATGGGGAAAAAAGGCTCCACTCTGACAGCCACACAAGCGGCGCCAGAAATCGGGCTCTTAATGCAAGCTGCACTTGCAATGTATACAAGAGCACCAACCAAGAACAGAGTCAAAGAAACAGACCAATGTTGATCGATTCCCTCCCGGTCAACAGATGCAGAAAAACAAATGCACAGGGTGGCTGTGAAGTAAGAAATGAAGAGAGGAGAGCAATTTTTTTTTTAAAGTTTAAAGTTTAAAAGTTTAAACTCAAGTCCCAGTGCTCTTCCTTTTCTTTTTTGTTAAGTGGCTGTGAAGTAAGAAATGAAGAGAGGAGAGCAATTTTAAAGTTTAAAGTTTAAAAGTTTAAACACAAGTCCCAGTGCTCTTCCTTTTCTTTTTGTTAAGTGGATGTGAACTAAGAAATGAAGAGAGGAGAAAAAAATTTAAAGTTTAAAAGTTTAAACACGAGTCCCAGTGCTCCTCCTTTTCTTTTTGTTAAGTGGCTGCGAAGCAAGAAATGAAGAGAGGAGAGCAATTTTTAAAGTTTAAACACAAGTCCCAGTGCTCTTCCTTTTCTTTTTGTCAATTTACTACTTCATTTCCCCCTCCAGTTTAAACGAAGAGAGGAAAGCAACTTTAAAGTTTATTTACTTGTTCATTTTGCAACTAATAGGTAGGGGTGGAACCGTCCGTAGAAGCCCTCTCGGTGACAATCATACCAGTTATTCCTGTGTCTTTCCTAAAAAAAACAAAAAGGGTACAACATTCAGAAATGCAAAAGGTGAATACAAATTCATAAAACTAAAAATGGATGAAAAATTGAAAATGGTTTGTGGCCAGCTACCTGTCGTGGTATGAAGCACCGCGACCCAAAATAGTGTTGGAGGAGTAGGAGGGCTGCTTGAATAAGCATAAAGCTGCGTGGAAAGGAAAACCAGAAGGCAGGGTGGAAAACAGACAAGCACAGAAGATCACCAGGCCTGTCAGCTAACGATTACAGAAATTCTCGGTGCCACGAGTAAGAAACAAGGAGTGTCACAAACGACCGACAGCCAAGAGCCGCATGCTATACTAGTGACAAAATTTCAAGAAAGTGCAACCTCCACAAATTGTAATCAATACTTATTGACGACTACCATCTTCACCCAAATATAACGCCCAGTCATTATAGCTGTATTTGGGGCATTTTTCAGTCCAGATGCAGCGATAACGACCACATACTATACGATAACAAATGACCACATACTACAAGTTTATAACAAAATTTCAAGAAAGTACAAACTCCACACATTGTATTCAATACTTATTGACAACTACCGCCTTCACCCGAACATACCGCCCAGTCATTATAGCTGTATTTGGGGCATTGTTAAGTTCAGATGTAGCGATAATGACCAGGCGTTCTATTCGGGTGACGACAGCAGGTAGCTAGCTATTCAACAAAGGAACATATGAAAATAAACCACACTTTCTCAAAAAAATGCCACTCCTTGCCATATGCACCCCATCTTATATATAGGCAGAAGGTTGCCCAACAAAGCAACACATGGAAAGTAAAACCGCCTTCTCAAGACTTCACCACTCATAGCCCCGTGTGGCCCCCCATCTTCAATAGGCAGAACTTCCGCAGAATGTTACACAGCATGCCACCAGTTTTCCTTTTTCTTCCATTTCGACAACCGTTCTTTGGCAATGGGTCCTGAGCAAAAACATCTAGTACAACCAAACACTACCCAGGAGGAGAGAACTTCAACCACCAGTACCTCGCCCAGCTATATTTCTCCGACGCGGCCGTTAACGCGCCGGGTCAGACAGGGATCGTTGCAGTGAACGTCTGGTCGCAGAGAAAGTGGGCAGAAAACGGGATTAGAAAAAAACAAAAAAAATATCTACTTTTTGGCAGTTTTTGCAAGTTTTCGGACTTCCCTGATGTCCGGAGAGGTACTTCTAGAGGCCGTGGCAACTTGGTTTCTTTGCATGGTGTATCTCACAGCTATATCGGTCAGGTTCATTCTGTTATTTGTTTCATTTTTTGTTTTGAAAATCCAGTTTCCTTTCTTTAGATTTCCCTGCCAGCGAGGCAGGGCGTTTCCGTGATAAGTGCAGACGCCCTCGTTCAGGGCAACAGTCCAACTGGCACATTGACGGATGTATCCAGCCCCGTTTCAAGGCCAAAACAGCACTTCCTTTGTTTGTGTCTCCTTTGCTTTCAAGATTCTGACAACACGGGATGTTTCTTTTCTTTTTTTTTTTTGTCTTTTTTTGTCTTTTTTTGTCTTTTTTTTTTTCTAGATTCTCACGCCCTCATTGAGAGCATGCTCTCACTACCACTTCACGTAATGTACCCAACTGCATTCTCGTCACTAGCATTGTTTGTGTTTTTTTTTTTTTCTTTTTTTTTTTTTTTTACTGGTCCGCTGGCTACTGGTACCTCCAGTCTCGGCAGGTTCCGCATACCGGTCGCCCGAGGGTCGCCCGAGGGTCGGACTGCATAGCTGAGTGAGGTGCTGGTGGTTCAAGTCTTGGACCCCACTGCATGGCGGCTGCCGTGCATATGGACAACGTCCGCACGCCAAAATCTTAGACCACAATCTCAGTGGGCGAAGACAACGAGAGCCCACCGCAGCAAGACTTTCCGGCAGGTTTCTCTCTCACCGGGTTACCCAATAGGGAAAGCCTCCCCTACACAGAAAACAGGCCTCCGGCTGTCTCTGCCCTCATCAAATCCCTGGGTCTTCTTTCCACACGGCAGGGCCTAACAGGAAGAGACGGGTTCCCCCCTCCTCCCTCGGGACGGCCATTGCCATTGCAAACGGCTGTGCAGAACTGAGTGCAAACATCTGCCACGTAGTTGCTGACCAGTTGGGCCGTTTGCTGCCGAAGAATGTTGAGTCTCGAAAATTGTCGTGCAGAGGTGCCCACGGTCATGGGGTCCAACCCTTCGCTGAACTCCTCAAAAGCTGCCTCACAGGACTCGAAATTTTTCAGATAGAGGTTGTGTGCACAGTAGTGGGGTCCGACCCTTAGCTGAACACTTCAAAAGCTACCACACAAGACTTCGTGGAACACTTCACAAAAAAAAAGAAGAAGCTGATTGATGAAGAGCTGATCGATGGCCTAGCTGTTACGAGTCGCCTTTGCTCACGGTGCACAACATTACCCTACAACTTGCCCAACTTTTAAGAGAAGCTATGTTCAGGTCTCTGTCTCCAGCAAAAGTGGGTTACATATCCCACTTTTGCTGGGGACAGAGACCTGAACATGGCCCCCGTTGAAACGTAGCAAATGAGCATGCACTCCGAACTGCTAAATGAAAGAACATACTTTTCGTGAAGGCTTGATCTACCATTCTTTGATACATGCACGTGCCCTTGCCTGTTTGTGTATATGTCTCAACATGCAACCCCGGTGACATTTCTGCAAAACACAGGCTCTGCCTGCGCATGCTCTGCGCACGATTACTAATCAGCGACACGGGAGTTTTCGATTGCCGAAAATTGAATGATACAATGCGCCTCAATAATCATATACACGCATCTATTACCTAAAAACAGCGCACTTTGCAAAGCGAATGTCAAAACAAGCAAATCGCATGAGACACACTGCAACCGTTCTTTTACCTTTTATCTTAGTTGCTTCTTTATGTTGGCTTTTCTCGCACTTTAAAGCGCACTTTGCAAAACAAATATAGAAAAAAAAAAGCAAACCGCAAGAGGCACACTTTTTTTTTTTTTTTTTTTTTTTTTTTTACAAGCAAAGCGGAAGAGGCACACTGAAACCGTTCTTTTGGCTTTTCTCTGCGTTGTCTCTTTCTGTTGGTTTTTCTCACAGGTTCTCTTTTATTGCATAATAAAAAGAGTGCACTTTGCAAAACGAATGTAGAGACGAGCAAACCCCAGGAGGCATACTGAGACCGCTCTTTTACCTTACATTTCACCGGGGAGCAGACTACATCAACCTGCCAATCTAGAGCGTAAACCTCACAAACTATTGGATACACCGAWGTGAAARGKTGTCCGCRGSAGGCTKGSASWTCCGGGCTGGGAGGGGGCACASASARAGAGAGAGAGAGAGAGAGAGAGAGAGAGAGAGAGAGAGAGAGAGAGAGAGAGAGAGAGAGAGAGAGAGAGASTCACCAAGTCAGCCCGATGMAMSAGCCAGGATTGGTGGGATAGTGCATGAAATTGTATGGGCAACCAAAGAAATACAGGGGAATAGCTAATCTTGTAATGCTGATTCCCAAAATATAGTGCCTGTTCACATTCCACCATGCCATTTGACAGAGGCAGCAATCACCACAAGCATCCCGAGAGGGACAGGTTGAAGAAGGATATACGTCAAGGAGAAAAGACCTTAAAAATGACAGGGTAAACCTAATAGTAGCCTGGACAGCAAACAGGGAAAAAAGTATTCAATGGGAGTGCTTCCAACAGTAAAGCAAAAGAATTTGAGCTCTTGACCTCGTTGTCAACAGCCATGTGTGTACACCATTTACCCACGCGGCAGATAGGGCAGCCAACTCCAGTTAATATCTCAGCTACACCAGTTCACTCACAAGCGCCGTACTTACTGCGGACATTTCAACCCTAGATTGTCCCCTCAAACCAAGCGACGTGCACAGAGGATCATCAATGTGATGTACACTCCCAGACAGCCATGCAACCTTGGTGCAAGTGCCCAGATGCCCCCGATCCAGAACTATCTGAAATGCAGTGTACATATCTGGCCTGCCAGAGTGGCATGAGACCACTTGCACTAATTGTATTTTGCACTTTCAATTTGGTGAAGAATTTAGGAGTGACCCTGAAGCAATTGTTCACTTGAAAGTTGAAAGTCAACAAAAAAAAAGTTGTTCAGTTCAACATTGGGTTGGAGGGTGGTAAATACTAGAGTTTCAACCGGCCAAAGCAGACTGGCATTCAGGCCGGTTTTAGGCCTCCGTATTCATTTAGCTTAGGATAGGACCACATAGTCTAGAATCAGATATTAGAAGCATTTCGGGATTTTCTTTTTTGACAGGGATGATGTCTGGCCGTGCCCCACTGGGCTGCCCGGACAGCCCCGGTAGCCCCGATACATATTGACGATCCAGTGTACATGGGATACGTGACCGGGAATCCATGCAAGTTGACCAGGAAGACGGCGTTTGGATCACCCGAGGCAACTCGTGAGCTTTTTTTATTTTTTTTTCCTAAGCGTCTCAGCCTCTCAGGTTTTCAAACAATTAACACATTCCAGGAACTAGGTCACACACAGATGTGCGCCCAGGCTGCCTCTGGCTGCTCGGGGACCTGGCTCGGCCAGTTTTTGGAAAGACCTCTGTCCTGGGAAGCCTGAGCAGTGAGCACAAAGAAAACCGAATGGAGAAGAGATGTCGTGTAGCTTCTCGACCTGGTGGTCGGCGTAACAATAATGACATCCATCCAATCTGGATCCGGTCGCGTACACAAGCCCAGCATTGCCAAGCTCAAAATCAACACCCCCACTTCAGGGAACAAGTTTACACTCTACCCTGATCACTTTGCCTCAGTGTTTGGCACCACGGACGCAAGCTTCGCTTCGCTCTCTCTTACTGTGATTATTTCCCGCTTCTGTGTCAATCCATCTGCCATAGGGAGATCAGGCTTTTACTGCTCATGATCTGGTGATCACTACGCTGACTCCTACGTCTATGCCAAGAACTGACAAGTAGCCCACAAACATCAAATGGTGTAAAGGATACGGATGGAGTGGCTTCCTCGAGTCCCTGACGGCATTGCTCACAATCTGTGGAATCCAGAAAGAATAGAAGAGCAGCAAGATGTACCACAACAGCCAGCTGAACTGGTACATCAAAAGAATGCCCCCAAGCAAGAACCCATCTGTAGAGTCCCAAAAGAGAAAGGATTTGGCAAAGGTTTACAAGAGCGAAAGAGACGAGAGTAACACCAAAGATGACATCGACAGACAAAACAAACATGTGCAAACGCAAGCGGTCAGCTTACCCAGCAAGTGTAAACAAGTTATAACTGTGCCGTAAATGTGTTAGGCCATCAGGATTCTCCAAGGAGATGATGCAGCGATTCTTTTTTGATACAGTGCAAGGCTATTCTAGTATTTTCTTACATATTCACATAAATGAAACATACTTCAGAGCCTAGACTTTCGCCTTGGCCAATCCCTGAATGCACCAATATTTCTTCCCTCAAGCCGTCGTCCTTCTTCATTAAAAATATGCACCAAGCCTCCAAGGTACAAAATTTCAGACTTTCAGACTTCTTGAGATTGATCTTAGATTATACTTTTCCAAGATTTGTGATCTTGTTCTTGGCTGATTTTCTTCATCAGCAAACTGCATGAGACAGATACAAAAGGACAGAGGAATGAGACTGGAACCGGTTCCGAAAGTAGTGTCAATAGTGAACACTTTCAATCATGCACAGACTGCCGTGACACAGCAGACTGGCAGCAACCAAGAAAAATCACAGAGTCTCAGGAGATAAGAAATGCAAAGAAAGAAGAGGGAGGAGGAGGAAGAAGAAGAGAAAAGGAAGAAGGAAGAGTAAGGAGGAGGAAAGGAAGGCGACGAAGACAGAAAAGCGTCACGACTGAACCATAACTCCTGATCGCGACCTTGCTGATTGTAAAAATACACCATGAAGAAATCACCCACAAAATGGACCGAATTGAACGAATTCCATGCGGCATAGCGACCCTACCCGTTTCAGCTGGCCGCCAACCGGCACTCGGCCATCTTACTACCTGAGAATGTTGCACAACATATCCCTCATATACCTGGAAGTAAGTTCCACAAACAAAGTACGCTTAATCAAAAACTAATTCCTACAACAGACAATGCAAGCTGACTCAGATAATGCAGTGACATCTGAACTCAGTTATTATTGATTGGAAATTGTCATTGAACTGGGATGACAAACATAAGTACCTCGAAACGAAGCGGTTGGTTGAGTGGATGCTTCTTTTCTGGATGCGTACTGATTCGGATAAGAGGGCACAAACGAGAAAACAAAACTACTTCCACGCTAACCTGTCGACAGCGCTTACTTCTGGCAACATCTATCAATCTTGGCATCAACCCAAAAGAGCGCACCACAGCGCAACATTCAGATGGGTCTCAACTTTCAAGTTAATCATTTCATACAGCCACTTCTCAGACAATCCCCTGAAACATTGGAAAATGAGGTGATTATACTCACAGAATCTGGAATAGAGGATAGAAATCTCCCGACGCACCGTCTCCCATCCCTCTCCAAAAGTCCCAGGTCTCCGAGCTCTCCAAATTGCCAGAAGGTACCTCATTTCAAATATTGAAAAGATGACAAATTTGAAGAATGCCGCTGTAGCAAATGCATTGAAAAGATTTTCTGATGGCCACAAGGTCAACATTTCAAAACTGCACCATATCAGCCTAAGACCCTGCATGGCCGGCCATCACAGTAGAACACAAGGAACCGACTAAATTCACCAAATCTCTGAAATAGACATGTGGAAAGGACTACAATGGGCGAGCACAGCACGGAGGAAATGAGAAATGCGAATGACAGGAACCAAATTGCAGCATTCCATAGAAGTCCAGATAACTATGCGCACAAACTGAGAGCAGACTGCACCGCGAGATACACCAAATAAGCAAAGAGCAAAGAACGGAAGTCAATTGATTATGAAAGCCCTCTTCTCGCCTCCAACACCAATGCCCACAATGTCGCTCACCAAGTAAGCAAGAGCGAACCACTGAAGTCAACTGATAATGAAAAGCCCTCTTCTCATTCCAACACCAATGTCCACAATGTCGCTCTCCTAGCGCCCAGACTACAATCAGACAACAAGTATCGACCTAGACTTCCCACTACTCAGCAGGTCTTCATGAAGTACAGCAGCTTTATGACAAATGAAGACTTCGACTGCCGCCGCCAACTCATTACCACCAGATAAGCCGTCTCACACACTGCCCATACCTCCTGTTCCCCACACCCTGTCCCATGCCCAAGGCCCTCCGCTCAACCTCCCTGAGTAAAGCGCCAGCACCCCGGTCATGGCTGCTGCCCTCCTGCTGTGCCCATGCAGCTTTTTCCTTGCACTCCACCAGCGCCGTTCTCCACTCTGCTCAACTCTCGACAGCGCTCCAGTGGCCCTGCCGGCGATCAGCCAGCCACTACATCGAGAATGAGTGAGCCTCATTCTCTTTTGTTGTCTGGCTGCGTGAGACAAGGCACTGGAGGCCCAGTAGCTGCGCCAAGGGCCCTTCCAGAATGTGCCTGGGGCTCACCTGTGAGTGCCCTGGGCCGCAGCATCTTCAACTGATTGGGCCAACCGACTGGTTGAAGATGCTGCATGCACCAACCAACCCCTCCTGCTCACTTCAGCCTCCAGGAAGGCCTTCTCGCTTTTCCTCAGGGCCCGCCTTCACTTAGGACAAAGATAGTTTCCAGCGGGTGCAGGCCCCTTTCCAAACTGGGCCAAGGGCCTCGTGCTGGGCACCAGCACAGTATAGGCAATATGGACAGAGAAGGGAAGCAGACTGATACCATGAATGAATTTTTACCTCTTCCCTTTGATACTCCACATGTTTGCCTACGGGCGACGTATACATCCATATTCAGTTACTCCATCCTATACATCCATATTCAATGAGTTGCTCACCAACCCCAGCAACAACCTGCGATTTTTTTTTATACATTTTCCATGAAACGAACAAATCAGGGACTCAGCAATGCACCTACAACATGCCAGCCATCCTCTAAATGGATATTCAGTGAACTACTCACAGCAGCCTCTGCTACAATGTGTGATTCTTTATTTTCACAGGTACCCGCCTTGAGATATTATCTTCGCACTGACCGGGCCCAGGTAATTCAGAGTTGTTTCTACTTCTTTGATTCCGTCTGGATTCGAACTCAGGTCTATTGCTTCAGCAGTTCAACGGTGTACCAACTGAGGTAGTCCAGTCTGTACAATGTGTGATTCTTCCTTTTCCCGAAAACGAACAAATCAGGGGGTTCACCGACCTACAGCAATGCACCTCGTCCTATAAACAGGTATTTGAATCATTTGAATAATTTGAATAATTTGAATAAATTAACAAGTTATAACAACCCCAGCTATAATTTGAGTTTGTTCATTTACATTTTCCATGGCATGGTCAAAGCAGGGAATCAACAAACCCACCTACAACAATGCCAGCTGTCAGGTGCCCAAGGCAGAGGTATGCATCCATGATCGCCTGCTGGCCAATCATCCATAACGAGACCTTTGCTGCACCCTGCAAATAGCAGATAGAGACTGACATTCAGAGAATGAGCCGCCGCCTCGACATGAAAAAACACAGTAACAAACAACACAGTGAGGCTACCAGAGTCGCCCGTGTCCACTTGCCTGGCCGGGCCAAAAAGAAATAAAAAGAAATAAAATAAAATACTTCTTAATTTAAAATTTTTATTTTAAATTTGGTAACGAATTCCGATGTGACGCTGATGCAAAAGTTGTTCAGTTTATTTTTCTGCATAACATTTTTATTGTTTTTTTTTTTTTTGCTGGGAGGCTACCAGAGTGACCCGGGTCCACTTGCCCGGCCGGGCCAAAAAATAAAAATAAACATAAAGATGATTTTGTAATTAGAAATTTTCAGGGCTGAATTTCCGGTCCTACCGGGGGGCCCTTCCCCCACCGGAACCAGGCCGGTAGCACCGACCGGTGGACCGCGCCTGTTCCCCCTCGGTAGGAAATTGCGCCGACGGGTAGCGGCCAATTTCAAATTTTTTCGGGGGCCGGAAGGCCTCCCGGCCCCAAAAAAAATGAGCCAGGTCCAGCAGGCCCGCCAGAATCTTGAAAAACTGGCGGCCTATCTGGGCCGTTGATCTGATGAGATCGGCGGCCCAGATAGGCCGCCAGTTTTTGAACATTCGGGCGGGAAACCACCTGAAGTTCAACTGGCCGGCGTCGGCCCCCGCAACCCCGTGTGAAGCCTTCCTCCTCACTTCGACACTTCGTCGCAGTGACGAGTGCGGGAAACCACCCGACTTCCGACTGCGCCCCTCGTCACGTCGGGCACGGCACGCCATCGCCTCCCCCCCCCCGTCGTTCACCGGTCAAGCTAAGTGGTTGTATCTTTCTTCTTCTTCTTCTTCTTCTTCTTCTTCTTCTTCTTCTTCTTCTCCTTCTTCTCCTCCTCCTCCTCCTCCTCCTTCCATTTCTAATTCTCTTCTTCTTCTTCTTCTTCTTCCTCCTCCTCCCCCATTCTTCTTCTTCTTCCTCCCCCATTCTTCTTCTTCTTCCGAGTCTTCTTTTGGCATAGCCAAAGTTTCCGACGCCCGAAAAAAGAGAGAGAGAGAGAGAGAGAGAGAGAGAGAGAGAGAGAGAGAGAGAGCTGTCTCTTATACACATCTAGATGTGTATAAGAGACAGCCCTCACACTTCGTTTGCTTTTCTTCCCCATCTGGATTTGAACCTGGGTCTGTATTTCAACACCTCTTGGGTGTACTAACAGAGCTAGACCAGTTGTCACTTCCCGGTCACATCTAGGCTCTCAAAGCTCAAAAGGAAAAGCACCAGTGACATTGAGAATCAATAAACACAAGAGGATTATCAACTGACTTAACAAAGGACAAAGATCAGCACCGGCAAAAGAACACAACCAAACAGTGGTAGCGATGCTTGAAAAAATAGAAAAAAAATAAAAAATCGACTGTTACTGTTACTGTTTACTGTTATTTTATCGTTCTTTTCATTTCCTTCTCTTGGACCTTCCTTTCATCCCCCCTCTCTCTCCATTCCCCCCTTTTTTCCTTCTCTGCCCTCAAATTCTTGGAAAAGAAAAGAACACAGAAACGGGACATCACCTAGGCTCAAGCTCAGAGAATGTCACCAATAGACCTTAGTTTCCCNAGAGAGAGAGAGAGAGAGAGAGAGAGAGAGAGAGAGAGAGAGAGAGAGAGAGAGAGAGAGAGAGAGAGAGAGAGAGAGAGAGAGAGGTGGGCTTGGGGAGAGAGGGTTGTGGGCGTGCGTTTGATTAGTGGTCACGCGTTAGGGGGTGGGAGGGGGGGGGAGAGAGAGAGAGAGAGAGAGAGAGATGGGCTTTGGGCGCGCGTTTGATTAGTGGGGGCGCGCAAGATAGGGGGAGGGAGAAAGAGAGAGAGAGAGAGAGAGGTGGGCTTTGGGAGAGAGGGTTATGACGCGCGTTTGATTAGTGGGCGCCCGCGTTATTAGTGGGGGCACGTTTGATTAGTGGGCGCGCACAAGATAGGGGGAGGGGGAGAGAGAGAGAGAGAGAGAGAGAGAGAGAGAGAGAGAGAGAGAGAGAGAGAGAGAGCTTCCTTCATGTTTTGTGCCGCTGCAGGTATGCATCGGTCAGTGTTGGCAGGAGGACAGGTACGCTGCAACCACCCCACTAACACCCCCACAAAACCCAGACCCCCCCCCCCCCCCCCCCCCACCCACCCACCAACCCGAACCCCATGACAAAAAATTCGCACTTCCATATTTTCTCTGTGGATTCGGGGAGATCTCGACAAGCGCAGTCCAACCCCATCACAAAAAATAAAAATTAAAAAAATTTGACCCGGTTTTGGACCCAACCGGAATTCCGGTCCGGTCCGGTCCAACGAACCGGCCCGGCTGGGACCGGTCCGGTCCAACCGGCCGGCGGCCGGTGCAGCCCTGGCAATTTTATTTTAAATTTGGTAAAGAATTTCGATGTGACGCTTAGGGAAAAGTTGTTCAGTTTATTTTTCTGCATAACATATTTTTCGGTTTTTTTTTTTTTTTTTTTTTGGCTGAGACCTTCCCTAGTCCTTGCACGGCCGGGCCGCCCAGGAAAGTCGGTTGACCCGGGCCGCCCAGCTGGTAGCCAAGGACTGATAACCTAGTCTTTTCGGCCTCTTTTCCCTCTAAAGGTGCAACACCACACAACTTCTCTTCATTGCTCAGTTTTCAAGCTGTTCAAAAAGCCCTGTTTTCCTGCCTTGCGAGAATCTCTCGTTGCCTCTGCACCTTATGCAGCCTGCAGCAGACTGACACAAGACCACACAACAAAGCACTCTCAAAGACGACTAAATCCAGAACATCTATACAAACATAGAACCCCCTGAGGAGGAAGCCGCAACCATGCATGGCAAGCCTCCATGTAACAGCGACGTTGAGAGACAAGGCACAGGCTACAAAATGCCATGTTCCGTAAAAAAGCACTACTCACCGATTGACTATTGCTGTGCTCCATCTGCCTAATCAAGAAAAGCACCTGCAGGAAAGATATCTGTATTGAGGTAAATTAAGGAAACAAAGAGTGTAGTAGTCCTTGCACATTCTTTCCACATGTCTTGACACCACCAAGTATTCTTGGCGGGAGTAGAAAACACTAGACACATTATCGGAGATCACATATCAATTGCCCACCAATATTCTCATGAACAGGCAGGGGTGTCATTTGGGAGAACAGAAACATGCAGTCTACTTTTCAAACCCCAATGGAGAGTTGCGGATTATGGGAGTGTCTAAAGGGGACTGGTGCCAGAGGGCCATACATGGGACTCAGTGGGTTGCCGTGGCGTATATTATTTTAATATTTTATTAATTTCGGTTGATAATTTTGGTTGAGATCTAGGCCACAAGCCAGGTGGCCTGGTCCCCTGTGTCCACCTGAGACCCGGCCAGGCAGCCCAGCCGGACGGACTGTCAGGCCACCAAGTGCGAAATAGGGGCACTGTGTTTTTTTGCCCGTAGGGGCCCCAGGAGCTCCCCATTTTTTGTTATCGCCTGCGGGCCGTTGATCATTGGAGATCAACGGCCCACAGTTTGCATGAAGTGAACCTGCCCACTGAGTGACGACCTCAATCTGCAAAAGCTCCAGCACCCCGCCACACAACACCCGACCATGTACGCAATTGCCAGAAGGTGCGTCCTCCTCTTCTTCTTCTTCTTCTTCTTCTTTTTCGTTCGTCCCCCATCTTCCCTTCCTCCTTTCAGCTTCCCTCCCAACATCCTTGTTTGAAGTTCGAAGAGCAACAGCAACCTCTAGACAATGACGACAACACACAGCACAGCAACCTAGACAACAACAGACGATGGAGGGGAAGAAGAAGCAAAAAAGAAGAACCTTAGGCAACTCTAGGCTTGGATGACCTGCCTGAGATCAGTGCAAGAGCGTTAAGGAGGGGTGTCCTCTCATCGCCTTACATCCCTGACAACTGGGCAGAGTTCTACCATTGGACGGATCGCTACACGGAGGCACCTACGACCAACGCTTTGTTGGATCTGGCGGAAGTTTGTTGATCTACCTCCTGAATCTGCTGTGTTATCACTAACAAATTGTAATTTATGCCTTCACCGTTTTGAGCTTGGAAGAATATAACAAATTGGAAGAATATATATCTAATAGACGAAGTCATAGCTTCGCCTTCAGCTTAATACTACACAAGAAGAACTTGAAGGTAATGACATAGGCAATACAATGAAATAACCAGTCGCAGAGATAGCACTAGCAAGTTGACCTGACAGCACCAGCACAAAGCAGTAGAAAAGTAACAGAAAGACATATCCCAATCATCACATGCATGTTTATATGAGAGTTGACAAAGGATACAAAGGTGACAAGAAGAGTATAATTCACAGCCTTGTTGTACAGGCCCTGATTATCACTTGTGGCATTTAGAAAAAGTGGCTTGAAACACTCCTGGGAATCTTCAGACTTCTTTGTATACACCCGCCCATGGAGGGCCTTTGCTTGGACTGCGCACATAAAACATTGAGAAAGCACATCAGATCCAGCAACGCCAAGCCTTTCTTGCAAATAGTGTTCGGCACCCCCATGCCGACTCAGCAGCTGACAAATTACCCCACAATCAATACATCAGGGCAGGCAACTATATCAAGGCTTTTCAGCTAAACACACATTAGTATGAACTCACCTCCCAAAGTACACTAAAACAAAGTCCACGATGAGTCGATGACAACTCTCCGAGTCCACCCAGCTTCAATTTGATATTACCAGCACAGGATGAGTCTGATTCCTACAACTTTTCTGAGTATTGTTGCTTGTTGGCGTGATTTGCTGACGTTCACCTATTTGGAGTGATATTGCTGTTTGCCTGTGTGTCCAAGTCCCTATGTCATGATTGCCATGCCGTGAACTGACTCTTTGTTCTGGTGCTGCGCTTTCTGTGTCCCAAATGGGGTCTATCAGAAATAGGGACTACAGTGGTAGAACTGCAACTGGACAAGTCGTACAGACTTAGAAAGGCTAAGAGGGACAAGGATGGGGATTTTCCAGCAAGTCGGGTAGGCCCATATGAGTCCTGGAACCTTAGAAAGGCACGATAGCTTCCACAAGAGGTCAAGAGTAGCACACATGGCTGAAAGAGGGGTGTTATTTTCGGCGAAATTTGCAATTAAACTGTGATATTGCCCTGACTTTTTTGCTTTTTTTCTTGATTTTTGTTTCGTGCCATATGTATGTGTTTTAGGGTACAACCGTACAACGTGCATTCAAATTTGTCATATTTGGATCAATACTGAAAAAATTGGCATTTCGTTGAAATGATTGAACAATTATTTTAAATCCGAAAGTGTTTTGGCAACATTTGCGTTAGTTTTTTTTTGTGTTTTTGTGATTTTTTGTTCGTTTTCTTTTGCCTGTTTTTTTTTTCTTCATGTTTGTATTATGAGCCCACATTGTTGTTTCCAAAGTTTCCCACTACGTTGCTTGTGGCGATGCGGCGAAAAGGGCGGATTTTCGGCCCTCCGTTAACCACATGTCAAGAGTAGTAAGGGACCATACCTAGGCAGCTTTCAGGATAGGTTCAGGTGCTGTGGTTGGATTGCAGACTGATGTTCAGGCCAAAAGGCAGGAACTTCAGGCACGCCTAGCACACCGGTAGAGGCAGTAGCACAGGGCCAGGGAAGTGAAAATCATCAGCACAACGAGTACGCCTCTGCACATTGGTCCAGCCGTCAAGATGCCTGCTCTGCCCAGAGGGTGAGTTAGGCAGACTGGCTGAAGCGGTGGAGCTGGAGAGGAAGACCTCCATGGATATGTAGTTATGTAGAAGGGTATAGGCCTCGGCTATAGGGAGAAGGAAGGCCATGGAGGAGGAGGAGAGTAGAGGTTGAGGGAGAGCAAGGAGAACCGGGCCAAGACGGGAGGGAGAGGAAGGAGAACCAAACCAAAACGAGGTACTTACCTTTGGCTATGGTCGGCCATCTCCACTTCCTCGGTTGGCGCTGCATCTAGAAGGCCCCAGTTGGGGTACCGGGTTGGTCTTGGACTTCATCCAGGAGCGTGGGTATGGTATCTGCGTTGTCCTTTGGGGCACATTGGTGTTTGCATTGTCCTTTGAACATCCACTGTGGACATGGATGATGCCCCATAGACAGTTCTGCTGCCAAGGAGAGTTGAGTGCAGAGTGAGGCTGAAAGGGAAGCTCTTTGAGTGGTGACAGGAAGGGGGATTATTTGGACATATTCCTTTTTCATTCATTCATGTATGATTGTATTCAATTGATTATTCAAAGAGGATGTAGAAAATGCAGTCGGAGGAGAAGAGAGGGAGATGACATTGGTTCAGACTTGTGTATTTATTTTTCTTCTTCTAAACTCCTTCAGTCTGTTCCACGCCATCTCTTTTCACTTCTACCTGAGCTCAGCAAGTCTTGGATTGTCTCAAGGTCGAGCTTTGCATTACGAGTGAGGTCGGATCATAACACAACAGCCTCCATCAGCCTGAATGCCTGATTGTTGCAAAACACAGTCACCGCCGGTCAACCATGGCCCATTGCAGTTCACTGCTCTCTCTCTCTCTCTCTCTCTCTCTCTCTCTCTCCGGAAAAAATGGAATGGTAGCGGCTTCGCTCCTTTGTGGTAAAAAATCTCTAAACACGCGCAGCCAGGCACGATTTCAAAGGCGCGAAGCACTGCAAAAAGGTCAAAGCACCCTACGGGGACGTAGCATGTACAATTTTTTGGAAAAACTTGTCACAGTGATCTCTTTTCATAACTACCCTGTCAAAATACACAAAAATTCTATTCATTTAACCATTAAATGAATCTCTCTCTCTCTCTCCCTCCCCCCCCCCCCCCCCCCCCCAAAAAAAAAAAAAAAAGCTACAACATGTTCCTGTATTCATCTCTCCCTTCCTCGGATATACCCACAAAGGGTGAATTTTACCATTGCCACATGCCACAGATCGCCGCTAAACTTTCCAGCAAAGCCCCAAACTCTCTCTCGGTTGCCACACACAACACCACTCTTTGCCATGAACTGCCCAGGCTCGATACAGCATAATCTGTCAAATGACCTGACAGATCATGGTTCAAGCTTGGTACAACCAATGGAGACCACTTGTACTAAAATCCCCCACCTGCAGTGAGCATCATTGCACTCTTGCACTTACTAACCCTTCAGAACAATAAAGCAGCACCACACTTTTTCACTTACCAACCCGTTGCAGCACAAACGCTCAATAGAAATCCCAGAGATGAACAACTCCTGCATTCAACAGCATGTGACATACAGGACACAGGTCTACCTAAAGTCCTAAACTCACTGGCAGATCCGAAAGGCTTAAAGGAGACCCATTAGAATGAAAGGTACAAGGGCCAAGCGGCCTGGCTCAGTTGGTACAGCACGAAAGCAGCATTCAGGAGGTTGTGGGTTCGATTCTCCACAGTCCCCAATCGAGCCCCTGAGGCGTGTTGCGCGTTCACCAGCTGCGATAGTCAGCTTGTCCCTCCTGGTTGGTTGGTGGGGAATGCCACCCGTTGCCAGGGGTTAGGTTCAACCCTGAGGGGATAGGCTCAACCCGTAACCCTTAGTGTAGCTTGCCACTGGAGGGTAAATCAAATGTGTATCATTTCTAGTTACGTGAGTAGTGGGAGGCATATTGAGGGAAGAATGAAAGGTACGAGGTAGGTTCACAAAGATTTCATTGATGAACTGCATGCTGAGAATAACCCAGAGACGCTGATAGGCTGCCTTTACATGACCACTGCAATCACCCACATAACTGCAGTCTAGGAATTCTGCACGTTTCTGAGAAAATGCTGTGTTTTCGGTCTGATTGCTGAGACTTCTGGGTCCGAGCCTGTTTGCTGTGCTGAGTATGTGCATGACCTGCCACTGATATATGTATGCCATGTACTTGCCTGGTGAAGTTCTGGGTGCAAGTCCGGGCCTAGGTGCCAACTGTGTTGGCCCTGCTGTATGTCTGTGCCCCGGAGAGGGATACGACAGAAAAATGAGTAGGACCATGCAAGGGTGGAGAGTTAGCAGTAGATACGTATTCAGGTTAGTTGGACGGGCATGTTGGGCAGGGACAAAAGTAGAAGTCACTAGGGACCCGGTAAGGACATTCCACCACTTCATCACGTAGGCCTACAACGGTACGGTTGCTGTCTGGCAGGTCATGATGGGCAGGCCCCAACGCAGGTAGCTTGTAGAGGTAGATTCGGAAACTGCAGGTAGACATCAGTCTGGCATGATGTTCCTGCCTAAAGCAGCGAACATCCAGTGGGCCAAGTAACCGAAGGGAGCACGGTGGAGGCAGTGAGTGCCAAGAGATAATGGAGGCCCGGGAGCCAAAAGTATATCATTCGATGCTCTGGGTAGCCTGCTCCTTTCCCCAGCAATCATGCTGCTGCTCCGCTCAGACAGAGAGTGAGCCAAAGCACTTAGGGTGGAGGAGGAGCTGAGGGCAAAGAAGAAGACATCCATGGCTATCCAGTAGCGGGAGGTTAGAGGGCAAGGCTATTGAGGTACAGCGAGAAGACGTTCCAAACAATATACGAAGTTGACTAGACTGGAGGAGCAGCACACCGGTCGGAACCGACAAGGAAACTCACCTTTGGCTATGGTGGACCCTCCCCTTCATCCTCCTCGTTGGCGCCGCATCAAGAAGGTTCCTGCTGGAGGTGAGTAGAGGTCGAGGGAGGACGGAGGGGGAACCAACCAGGAGACATACATATTGCAATGGTGAACTGTCATCTTGATCTTCCCAGTTGGCTGCATCAACAAGGGCCATCCTGGGGTGCCGCCTGGACATAGGCTTCATCTGGAGATCCGGTATGGCAGGAGATGAGGGAAGAGGCATGCTGGTAGTTAAGATTGTCCCTCGGTCCGTGCTAGGCATGGATGAGCCACAGCAGCTAATAGCCATACCACATGGAATGGTGAGGGAAAAAGAGCATAGAGTACCCCTTGCCACAATCGCAGTAGGGGGTATAAGTCGGCCGTTGCTCCTTTAATCCATTCCTTATTGTTGTATTTCGATGTTAACATAAAGAGGTGCAGCTGATTATGTAAGGGAGATGACAGTGGAAGAGAAAAAGGGAGATGACATGGTTCAAGATTGTCCTCGTACTCTCCTTCATCTTCTTCACTCCTGAACGAGTTCTTCTTCTTCTTGAGTTATGATGGATTGAGTTTTGCTTCATGAAATGGACAGGATTACCGCATGACAAGCATTTTGGCACAGCTGTCATATGCCAAAACCTCAAATATAAAGATCAGGTCAAATTGGGAAATCGGAGAGCAGTGCGATTGCCCAGGAGACGAGGGAGGATCAACAAAAAAATCTTCTGCAAAATAGGAAAAAAAGTGTGCTAGATAAGGACCAAAACAGCAATGACACATAGTACATCACAAGCTGGTCCACTTTCAGTCACATGTCAATAGACAGGAGAAGGGATATGCAGGTTAGGTACGCACAACCACAACTAGCACAGCCATTAGCCGGTCAGATCCAGGAGACTAACATCAACAATGGCTGAATTGGCACACAATACCCTTCAAAGCCCATATAGAGGAGTTCCAAATTGTAAGATCATATGCAGAGGTCAGTGCTGAGAGCTCAACGGACAAAGACAAGGCAAAGTTAAGCATTGAGAACTGGATCATCAAGAACTCTGATTGCACAAGAAAGACCACCAGACATCCAGCAAAGGCCTATGGAAAAGGGCTGCAGGGTATGAAGGAAATCGGCTATAGGTTGTGAAAGTGCTCACATGGAATATCAATGTGGACCTGCAGCTCCATGTGGATTTTGCAGTCTTCAGCAGCCTCCTCCGTGCTACCTATGGAGATGAAGGAACAGAGCAGAGGCCAAGATCAGCATTATTGTATCCTGGAGCTATATGGATTTGTATTATATCAGCCTCAACGTGAAGAACAAAGCTTCACAGATAACACACAAATAGCTAGAGTTCAAATGGAGGCATAAGTCGATATAGGACAGGCTCACTGCTGCAATTTCCTTCCGAAGGGCGAGACATAATGCAAGTTCATCAAAAGGACCAGCGTAGCGCATTATATAAAATATAAACATCTCTCTTAACCCTGCATAATGGCTCCCTGTTAGTCATCTGTCAACACTCCAAGAACCCCCTGAACAGTCCACCATGGATGACTCGCATCAACCATCTTAAATGTCATCTCCGCAGATTCCTGTGGCACAAGCAGCAAAGATGAAGCAGAGACAGGCTTCATCCTTGACCTAGCCCCACCAGCCCTCACATATGGTTTTTCAACCAAGCAGCATGTAGCAGCACGTAGGGCCAGAAACTCCATACATCAGCTCCCGAAACTGCATTGAAGAAGTATTACCAGACACTCAGCCTTTCCCCTGAAGGCCATAAATTCAGATGTCTTACATGGTTAAGTATTCAGAAAGATGTCTTACATGCTTAAGTATTCAGAAAGATGTCTTACATGGTTAAGTATTCAGAAAAGAAAACCTCAGTCATGCTACCTTAAACCACCACTACCTCACCCATGCAAACTTGAGAATTGAGCGGCATTCTTCCGCTGAACAGTGCTACCAGACCAAAACGGCTGGAGCCGCCAGCCAAAAGAAAAAGAAAACACCGCTGTGGCAACATCCTCAAAAAGACTCGGAGGTAGTGGTAGTTTAACAGAGGGAAAACCAAATGTCATCAGCACCACCTATGTCCACCTTGCACACTGCACAGGGAAACATGGAGGTGCCAATAACTGGCAAACACTTTACATTGGAGATAAATTGAGATAAATTACTTAGACTAAGGCCATCCCCAAGATCGAACACTACAACCTGGTCAATAAATATGTTAAGCACACAGAAAGAACCTCTCTCTCTCTCTCTCTCTCTCTCTCTCTCTCTCTCTCTCACACACACACACACACACACACACACACACACAGAGGTAAGCAAGTCCCTCCAGTCTATGATTTGCAGTTGTGATTCTGCCCTACATGAGGGCGTAATGTTAGCAAGACCTTCACAATTGTAGAATTAGGGTGTGCCCAAGTTTTGTTCGAGCAGTTCTTAACTCAGGACCTACTTCTAAACTGCACTATGCCCGGAAGCTTTGCCTCCTCAGACGGGCAGGTTTGAGTACAAGTACATCCATTTCTCAGCTCGACGTTGTGCTGCAGCATCAGAGTATTTTCAGCAGCCACCCACCGCACACCCCGGTGAGGGACAAGAAGAATATCCGTGCATGGGCACAGCAGCAGGAGCTATGATCACTACTCAGAAGTGGCAGGTGTCATGCCGTGGCGCATCATGCACATCGTGCAGAGCAATTGAAGCAGGAGACGAACGAGGAATAGAACCGTAGAGAAGCAAAGGATGCAGAATAGTCCAAAGAGAAAAGACTTGTTACAGAGTTAAACATGCAAAGCTGTAAAGCAAAGACTTGCAAGAAATGCACTGTCAACTGTCTATTATTTAGTTTCTTAGGTTTGGAACTTTTGAAGGTTGTTTTGCAAATCACCTTCAATTCTTTTTTTTTTCTTTTTTTTTTCTTTTTTTCCCTTGCGCAGGGGCCATGCTAATCTTCTCTGTATCATTCCAATTTTAAAGGATGTCCCGAAGGACAAATCACCTTCAATTCTAGGAGAAACATTCTGGTGCTTTTTATCCACCGGCTCCATAAACCACTAGCTTTACACATTTAGCTAGAACCATCTGTGGTTATTTGGGGAGACGACATATATTTGACGAGTTCAAAGGTGGCAAATGCAGGATGACAAAGCATAGAGCAATGTATCAAGGTCTATTCTGTCATTTCTCTTCTTGTCACTGTTTTTTTCTTTACGATTGGGGGCATGGAAACATGTTTAAATGAGAGAAGCAGCTGCAATTGCATTGAGGTCCATTACATCACCCTCGCTTTCAGGCTGTGGGTGTTCTAAGACGCTGATACACTAGCCGGAAGAAAGGGGGTTCATAAAGCAACTCAACCCCCAACAGGTCCATTTCAACGACAGTCTACAGAAAGACTGCCAACCTCTGAACCATCGGAAACTGAGGATATACTAGGAGCCACCACAACAGGATAATCTTCTGACTAGGATACAAATTGCCCGTGATTCTCCCACAGAATCCACTTAGAAGTTAGAAATCATGATTGCATGTCCTTCCAGACACCCGCCAAAATTTGAACGATACAGAGGATTAGCGTGGCCCCTGCGCAGGGATGCCACAGACAAACCGAGAAACGGTACAAATTAAAAAAAAAAAAAAAAAAAAAAGAAGAAGAAGAAGAAGAAGAAGAGAAATCATGATTGCACGAGGGGTCGAGGACCGACGAGAGGCAGCCTATTAGGAAAAAATCCCTTTTTGTCAATGAAGGCACTTCACCACCATGGACCTAGGACATCATTTTCTTTCTTTTCCATTATTAGAAGGGACATCACTTGTCCCTCGGGACATCCGTTAAAATTGGGACGATACAGAGAAGATTAGCATGGCCCCTGTGCAAGGATGACACACATAAATCAAGAAATCGTCCAAATTTTTAAGAAAGGGGGGGAAAAGACAAGAACAAACTACATGATTTGCGAGCAGCACATGACAATCATGGAACTGAAGGAAGAGACCATGTCACAACAATGCAGCCTGATTGCACATGACAGGGTTGTACAGGAATAGACTTGTGGCAAAACCAGTTAATATGCAAAGCCTGAATCACTCACAAAGGCATCACCTGATCCTCCATTACACATACCGGCATGGCACAGCACATGACAGACTTCATAAGCACACCCAAACGTGATTGCGTCTCCAACCTGACTAGAGAACAACATCACTCATCACAGGCAGGGCTTACCTTCCGCAGAGTTCCTGCCGTCTGTTTCAAGACCTCCATCCAACGGCTGATCCGCACACCCACAGCATTTGCCCCACCCCAAACCATTCTTTACATATCAGCAACCGAGCCCATTTTTTCAGTTCTCTTTACCATCTTTGTGCCGAAGCAACCGTTCTAAACACAGAAAACTTTGTTTTCAAAACACGGCTAGACAGATTCACACATTCACATGAGCATACACAAACTCCTCACTTTCACATTTCCAGAAGCCTGCCTAAGGTCTGTTAGTGGCCTCTCTGTTCTGTAGTTTGAAGTAGTTTTATCACCTATATCAGGCTATATGCCAATAGTGTATTGTGATCTAGTGAAAATGTGCAGCAGTTGTCACCAGAGATGCTCTTAACTACTGTATTCCGGTGCTACGTATACCGATTATGTACATCCATAAATGGGCAGAACGAATATCACCTCATGGGAATGTTGTAGGAGAGGTTAAAGAACCTCTTACATTGCATTACAGAAATAAAAAAACGGAAAAGAACAGATAGTTTCGTGAAAAAATCTTTGGACCTATAAAAAGTGGAAGATGTGCCTGTGGAAAATATGAGCACGCCTATCTTTAAACTAACAATCAATCGAGCAGAGATTCATGTCCATTCACTGATTCTCCAGCATGGGAAATACAACAGAGATTCATGTTCATTCTTCAGGACCAAGTTAGTAATGCCACAATGTCAAGGGCATACAGCGGCACGACCTTGTACAAACAGGGAGACAAGCCGCCTCTATTAACCATTGAATTCCAGTTTTTCAAACTGCATCCTCCAGCACAACATATGGAGATTGTCGGAGTCAGACACCCCGTTGAAAGTAAAAGCAGATTGGATTCCCTACACTATCAGAAAACAGACTGGATTCACTACACAAACACGAGAAAACTCCAATCAAATACCTGTTGGCCAATAATTTACCGCACTCACAATCACATTTTGAGTGTAAGCACAATTTCACTGCAGTCAAAAAGCACCTCATGCCTTACTTCCCTCCACTGCAATCTAACCTGTCTAAAAGGCTTACGCAATGGACCTGGAAGCCCCTACAAACAGTGTGTGATGCCTTCCCCAAGTCAGTCTGCAACACAAGTCCCAGAAAGTATGCCAGCCACCCATATCTGTTGCGTCAACGAAAGTTAGGTTTACATACCAGGCGATACCCAGCTGGCCCAATACCCTCCACATCATCACCGGTGTAGCTTCACCCGAAAGTAGAAATGTTCACACGGATTGTTGATGCATGCCACAAGTTGTTCAAAGGATGCCAGCAAATCAAGAAACAAACAAACCCCACCCCTACGAATCAGTACACGTCAGGCAAGGAGAAAGTCGTTAAATGAAACCAATGAGCATTGACAGGTATATTAAGAAAGCAGCTTCCCATGGTTTCCACGAGAAAACCAGTGCGGCCCCTCCCATACTCGGTCTGCTGTGCAATCAACAATCCAGCAAGTGGCCGTAACAAAGACCATCCTTCCTTGTCAATCTTCTAAGAAATTGTGCAATATATGACGTTGGCTCTGCGGCAGACATCTTGTTCAGCATAAACCTTTCCCTCAGGCTTTTTCAAACTTTTAGATGATGCAATTCTTTCGAAAGTTGTTGTTGTCGTCATTTCCTCTTCTTTTGGCTCACTGTTTCCAACGCACTTCAGCTGGAGTTCAGCCTTCGAACTCGGGCTTTTCCGAACTTCTGGATGACGGAGTTCCCACAGCTGACAAATCCAACGGCCACATTGTGACATGGACATTTTGTCATTTACACAATCGCATCACATTGCAGGCCTCTAGACCTGCCCTGCCGTCAATCAGGCCAGAATGAAATCAAAAGCATGTCCTGTGACCAGACTGGTCAAGACAAAAAAACACTAGCACGGGTGCCTCAGCCCACTCCAGCACTCAAGCTGTACAACCAGAAATAGAGAATCTCCTCGATCCTCGAGCCACCATTGCACGTTGTGCACCCGTCCCCTACATCGTTTGTGCAAGAAGCGCATGGTGTGTCTTCATGCATGCGTGGAGCAGGACAGGGGCAAGGAGGGAAACCACCACATGGCAGAGGCTGCTTTAAAGAATTTGAGGCAGTGTGCCAGGCACTGATGCACCTCGGCCTCAATGCTTTGAAGCTCAATGTGGAGCCCACGTCCAAATTGATTTCGACCTGAAGCGATCAGGCCCTCATCACAGCTGTAGATTTCCATAGAAGTGACGAGTGGGATCCAAAGTTCATTCCAATCGACTCACTTGGGCCCTTCTATAGTGTGTGAAGGATTACCAGAGAGTATACATGTCTGGGTGTGTGAAACAGAGAACAAGCAATTACTGACACATTACTGAACAGATCAAAGTATAGGGGGACAGACGTGCATTCCATAACACATGATCAGAAATCATTCAATACAAGCAATACGCCACAAGCCTGGAAAAGTATCCACGCTCACCAGAGTTGCACAGGCCGACAGTTGCCGCCCCTTCATTGGTCAACGGCTGCCGACCAGTCAACGGGTCAGCTGGTCGGCAGCTACCATCAGCGGCTGTTGGCACCCCACCTAAAAAAAAAAAAAAAAAAAAAAAAACACACACAATAACCCCACCAACACCCCCACACACCCTCCCCCAAACGTTTCTCAGCAGATTTGGCCTGTACTCAGCAAACGCGGCACAGCCTCTTGCTTAACACAGACAAAAAAGGGGAGTGGCTATTTACCAACTGTTCAGCAGACCGCCAACCAGTCGGCCCTACTGGTAGGCTGCAAAACGGTCGGCTGTTGGGGTAGGCGATCGGCTGGCATGCAACCCTGACGCTCACAACATTCACAAAATTTCTACACTCACCAAATCCACAAGTATCCACACTCACCAAGTCGTACAGCTTACAAAAAGATACCTTCATAACCTACCTGTGAAGAATGGCCCTCAGACCATGGTACTTGCGAGTTGCAACATACACCCCATCAAGTCTCATCGGGGTATCCTCGCTGCCGAACAAACCCTTGAAAGTGACAAAGCCCTGCAACAGATTCCAGCAGATAAAAATCAGCCTCAATTTTCCCACATTCCAGACCAAAGTCTGGAGATATCAATTCACCGCTCTCAACCTTCAAACAGTGGATGGAAATTTAGTTCCTTTCAGCAGTCAAACTGATAAAAGAACCATTCTGAAAGGATTCATATGCTTCCGCAGTACGTCCCTTGGTACCCTGTCCCATTTCCTTTCGAACCTTAGGGCCAAAATAGAACTTTCGGGTAGTAGAGTCCAATAGGATAAGACCAGTAGGATCAGTACAGAGTCCGCCACAAGATCCTAGTACCATTGCAGCTCAATTCCAGGGAAGGGTCATGACAACTGAATCTCTCTCTGCCGCCACAGGGCCAGGCAGAAGAGTCCTGAATCGCGTGGGAGGATGGGGGCACAGGTACAAAAGGGAGGCCACCGTCAGGAACCTCCTCTTCTTTGATTCTGGCAGATACGAATGCTGCTGCATAGCTGAGCGCCAAGATCTTGGAACACTAAATTGGGCAAGAGAAGTAATCAATGCAATGCACGATAGCTGTGAGCTTGCATAGAGCCGAGAGAGAGAGGAAGAGCATCGAGGACATTCAGAGAGTGACCATAGGACCTAGGCACAGTTGTAGATAGCAGAGAGAGTGAGAGAGTGTATGAGAGAGAGAGAGAAATTTACCTGCTCGTCATTGGAGCTGGCAGCCATTGCCGCGACGTTTGAGAAACCTGAGAATGTCATTTCAAGTCGTAATCAAGCTCTGCGTGTGCTCATATCGTGTGGATCTTGCTTGGTGTTGCGCCTCACGGAGGGGAAAAACAGTAAACAGTTGTAGATACAGGGCTCATACAGAAATTTAACAAGAGGACTTACAGGCAACAGTGGGACAGACGGACAGGAAGGTAAAATTGTAGCGGACCCTGTAGGGATTTCCCAGCAATTTTTACAGAGGGTCTGCATCCAGTAGACTTGGAGATAGGCATATTGATAGTAGCAACCTGAATACAGACATATATCAGGCCAGATACGTTAGGTTCAGGTAGAGTAACAGATGGTAATAATTTTACCAACCCCAGGGAGAGACTGGTAGATTGGGGGAGAAGCCAGTAGACTGGAGGAGAGGCCAGGTAGAGCACATAGAGCAGCCAGGTGAAGAGGCTGCTTGTCCACCGTGTATATCACTTGATGAGCAGTTCACTTACACACTTTTTGGGTGCTCCTATGATGCTCTGTATTGAGGGGGGGTGAGCGGAGCTGACAGGAGTCGCCTTCAAAAGAATGAGGAAGGTCTCCATAGCTATGAAGCTGAGGAAGAAGGTCTCCATAGCTATGAAGCTGAGGAAGGAGGTGGTCCACAAAGCATTGGGTAAAGTGATAGGTGTATGAAGTACTATGAACCCATATTGCAAATAGGGAACTCTGGGAACCGGGTTCACGAAAAGAGGGAATCGTGATGGAGACTAACCTTTGGCTATAGCAGATTCTCATCTTCACTCCCAAGGTTGGTGCTGCTTCACAAAGGCTCTTTTAGCATACCGCAGGACAGATACTTCACCAAATAAGGAGGCATTGCTGCCGCCATTGCAGGAGAGAGTATAGGTTGGGATGTCCTCCATACATCACAAGTATAGGTTGGGATGTCCTCCATACATCACGAGTATAGGTTGGGATGCCCTCCATACATCACAAGTATAGGTTGGGATGTCCTCCATGCGTCACGCTTGAGTAGCGAGATGCCTCCTTGCACATTAACAGTAGTGCTACCGGAATGGGATTTGAGGAGCAGGGAGTTACTTAATAGCCTTGTTGGTAGACTCGTCATACCTAAGATTATTTGTGCATTCCTTCGTCTTTGGTTCCTAAAGAAGCAAGAAGAGAAGGTAATGATGACGAGGTGCCGAGACGGAGAGATGGTAATAACATTTCAGTAGTCATGTGTTCCTCTTCTTCTGCTTCATGTTCTCTCACTTCTCTTCCCTCTCTCTCTTACTCTCTGGTCTTGACTTGCAACTCATGTGCTTATCTTAATCTCTAGTATTGCATACGATCAAACAGGGTTCATAACAACGAAAGAGAGACACCAAGAATGAGCAAGCAAGCAACTACGTGGGTAAGAGAGTGAGTCAGTGACGGAACGGTCAGGGAAAGAGATAACCAGAGAGAGGGAAAAAGGAGCGGGTGAACAAGGGAGCAGGACCGAGGCAGAAGGGGGACAAGGGAGAAAGGAACAAGAGAGGAAGAGGAAGTGAGAAAGGGCAAGAGAGGAGGGAGCAACTCAGTTATTCAGAGAATGCGAGAGAGAGACCGTCTCAGGGAGAGCACTCAACCGAAGGACACCTCACAGATGCAAGCAGTGTTGCATACCAAAGCCGGATACCCTCACTGAAGCTGTGAACAACTAGAAACCCAGAAGAGCAGTCAACATCCCACGAATAATAAATGGCACCCAGACACCCACCCACCCACCTCTCTACCGGACACACACACACACACATCAACACAACCCAGGAAAAGCTTGCAGTTCACATCATCGTTATTTTGAGAGGCTCCAGAAAGCCCAATCAACTGGCAAAAAGATTCAACAAAAATTAGAGCTCGTCCCCTGACAAGGGCAAACTTCAATCTTGATTTGGTTGCATGTCAAAGAAATAAATACTACGCACCCTGACAATATGGAGCTCCGGCCGCCTGCTCAAAGTACTGCGCAAGAAGATGGTGAACTCCTTGGGTGCCACATATTGAGACGTTCCTGATACGTTGCCATCCCTTGGCTCCCATGTTCCTGCAACCATATTGTCATTTCTCAGAACATTTGCTCTCTCTCTCTCTCTCTCTCTCTCTCTCAAACATGGTGTACGGATATCCGACTTTCTGCGGACATTTTGGTTTGTTCGGTTTTGTAGCCTTATGATTTTCTTTTACCCTGGCTGAGGAAAGTCAGGACAGCGGTCTAGTTTTGGCCAATTCTGTCGCTGGACGTATTCCTAACGCCTGCACCGAAGCTGGGTAACGGTCCCAGTATCTTTTCTTCCTGGTAAATTGTTGAGGGATTCCCAGCCCCGGTATCTTTTCTTCCAGGCTGTTTATTGAGGGATTCCCAGCCTCATTCTTACATCTTTTTTTTTCAATAAAACAAAAAGGGTAGGGCCGCTGGTGAGGGGGGCCGGTTAATGCAAAGACCAAGCATTTTGCCAGTAACTGTGCCTCCCATCTACGTCCCCCACCTCCCATCGAGTAGCAGCAGTGGCTATGGCCAACACTCTCCCACACACCACACACAACCCACTCACGCTCACGCTCACACTCACACCATGTTGATCATAGCCCCTACTAATACCGATCAGGGGTATCAAGCGGACTATCACAGTTGGTTGCCACTAGTGCACCACAGGAGATCATGCGGCTCAAACCCACAACCTCCTGAATGCCACTTTTGTGCCTAACCAACTGAGCTAGGCCACTGGATCATTCTTACATTTGCCTGTTGAGGGATTCCCAGCCTCACTCTTACATTTGCAATAATCATGAGCAGCGTTCTTTAAAGAAAAAGAAAAAAAAGGGATTCCCAGCCTCACTCTTACATTTGCAATAATCGTGAGCAGCGTTCTTTAAAAATAAATATATATATCGTCAAATAGAATATGCGGACTGGGATGCTTTGGGTTTGGTGAGCCAAAAATGATTTTGCCTAAACAAATCAAAAGGATCTGCAAAAATAACCTAGTTAACTGCTCTCTTTTGGCATACTCGCTCGCATTGAGACTTGGTGCCTTCCGTAGCTTCCCAAATTTCTCAAATCTGTTTACCAAGTACTTCCGGTATACATCGGGGTAAGGGGAAGATACGGTGGCTTTTAATACTCTAGACGCTAGGAAGATTTCACGAACTAGCGCTAGACTTCACTCTCCGGCCAGCAATAATGCAGAGTGAAAAGCGGGTCCCTGTACAGGCGCATGTCCAAGCAATATCGTGACAAAAAAAACAAAAAAACCAGCAATATTCTGATGTTTTTGAAAGCAATCAGGGGAGTACCCTGCACATGGTTTCAAAAACAAGACATTACAAGGGGAACAAAGAAGAGACACCTGCATACAAATACAGCCACACTGTGAGGTCCCAGCCCGTCCGATGCTGTTTCTTCTTTTACCAAAGCTATAAACTGGGTAACACTCCCAGCCCATCCCGGTAATTGTGAGGTTCCAGCCTCACTGTTATAAATTAGTAGTAAATAAAACCCACTAGACCAAAAAATCCAGCCACATTCATATCCTATGCTCCAAGTCTCAGCATGCCGTTACTCCAGCAATGCACTTGCTCTCTGCATCTTTGTTTCCACTGCACTTTTGCTTGAGGGTGAAAAAAACAGAAAAGACGACAGCATCCTTTTCTCTTCTTAGTCCACCTGATTGCTAAAGATTTTCCAGTGCTCTATGCCTTCTGAGTGCGACTTTGCATGATTTCTACGATCATAATGCCTTTCTAAACACAGGCTTTGTACCTGACCTTCCATGCATGATCGGGTCCCAAGCTTGGAATCCTGGCTGTGGGCATCTTTGGTTCTACTACACTTTCGCTTGATGGTGAAAAAAAAAAGAGCTTCCTTTTCTCTTCTTAGTGACCTGATTTCTAAAGATCCCAATGCTCTAATGCCTTTCGCATTCTGCACATTCTAAGCACAGGGTTTGCACCTGACCTCCTGTGCATGTGTCCAAATCTCAGAGTTATGGCTATGGTACCTACCAATTGAATAGGCACAACAACACTATTTTGCAACCCCACTCCAGAGGCAAGGTCCCACTGGCAGAGAGGATTGGACTAGGCGCCTGCATTCGGATGTGTTATATGCAGAGATGCAGAGAAGTAGATCATCGCGATTTTCTGCTCCTCTCCAGGAACACATCCAGATTCAGGTGTTGAATCTCACCCTCTTAGCTAGCGGAGCCTCGCCCCAGGACGAACAGAACAGGTCGTAATAGAAAAGAACGAACAAAAACAAAAATCGAAAAAAAAGAAGAAAAAAAACGTAAGGGATTGTGCTGCACACAACTTGGACAGCAAAAAGACCACTACATCTTGTGCAAAACCAATAGTCGCCGTAGTTGCAGACAGATGCATTCTGGCTACATCTTCATTTCCCACATCCCTCAACGCTGTGGTCCAGCATCCTCAGAGAGCATACACCTCTAGGGCGCAGTCTCACTAGCAAAGAAGATTTGACTTAACGCATAGGCGCATAGGCGTGTTTTGGGACAGGTCCATATAATCGTGAGCAATCTGCTTTTCTGTATCTCTGCATAAAACACACTGAGATTCTGGCGCTTCATTCATTCCTCTTTGCTAGTGAGACCTTGCCTCTGGCATGAGGATGCCCTTCTGCAAATTCACAATATGAAAATTGAAACGAGATTATCGTCTGATCGACGCAGAGCAACAGCAAAGGTAAAAGGTTTCTTTAAGTCTGTTCAATAACTACAATTTAGCACATCTTTATTTGAATTCCCAAATAAGGTCGAGAGAGTGTAGCCCCCCGTTCAAATTGTCAAATATGAAAACGTGTTTGTACATCTCCGACCAGCATCCATCAGCACAGAATAAAAATCCAGACAGCTCTGCCGTTAAAGCCGAGGGCCGACCGAACGCAATTTCTGCATGCTCCCCCGCGGTCAGGGAGGGACCCACAACCAAAAGAAAAAGGAGATTACTTCCATAAAATTTTCAAAAAAAAAAAAAGAGGAGAGGGGGGGAGGAAGGGAAGGGAAGAAGGGTGTGGGAGTAGGGGTAGGGGCGAACGGGGCAGGGGGTTGATGAATGAGAAAATGTGCCCTGACATCGGCACTCTACATGTCATACCCTCATCATACCCCCCATCATTTTTTCTTCTTTTTTCCATCATACCCCCCATCATTTTTTCTTCTTTTTTCCATCATACCCCCCATCATACAACCGGCCAAACACCAAACCACACAATTTCTTGAAGGTTTCTTGGCGGTTTCCCTCAAGTTCTGTTCGATATTCATCCAAATTTTGAGAACCTCACAGCCGACAGAGTGAGGTACAAGGTTCCGCGTGCCTGGATACTTCGTTCCTGGTCATCAGCCGTTGTATCTACGGTCAGAAATGAAGACCCGGATAACAACAGCTTGCCCCAGGGTTGACTGGATGATCCTGGCAGCGCTTGGCTGGGCTTGTCACACAGGACCGACCGATACTCTGCAACTCGTCCGAAGAGCATTCGACATTGGCTTGCCGCTTTCAAAACACCTTGGAAGACAAATGCCATTCAGCCGTCTCGCAGGTGCAAACAGATTTCAGTTTTCCATTTCTCTTCGCCCAGTTCGACACCTTCAATTCCTTTTGTTTCTTTTTCTTTTCCAATTTCCTTTCCCTCCCCCTTCAACCCTTCTCGATAGGCTATCGTCCCACTGCCCTTCTTCTCCCTCTGGCTGCCGTTGATCTTCTTCCTCAATGCTCGGAGATGTTGGCACCATGCAAACAAGGTTTGGGGACCGGGGAAGGGCCGTGGAGGGGCTGGGGACAGGACACAGGGGCAAGGGGAAGAACAGAGCGCCAGTGGACAACGTTGAAAATGAGAAAATATGATTCCTATTACTTGACTCAAGTCAGCACATGCCTGCAGTTTAAACCACCAGTACATCCAGCTATCGGCCGCAGGCCCTTTTCGGAGGCCGCCCGCCGCCCGCCGCCGATTCTATTTATCTACGGCACTGGGCCTTCAAAAGTTGGTAGGCAACGAGTTTTCTTTTCGGCAAGGCTGGGGCCGTGTACTGGCGGTTTAAGACTCACTGCACCAGACAGTTGCTGTACGTTCCATCCGCACTTCAACAAAGCAGTCCCAAACTGCTGAGACTGCTGACACCTTTCCTCTCGAATACAATTTCGGCATTTTTTTAGCCGAAATCATCAGGCCCTACTGGCAGGAACCTTTGTAAGGGCTGACGATTTCGGTTCAAAAAGCACCAAAATTGCGGCCAGGAAATTCAAAGCTAAATGCCCAAAGCATTAAAATTGGAACAATACAGAGAAGATTAGCATGGCCCCTGTGCAAGGATGACACACATCAAGCTGTAATAATAAGAACAATCACCACAGCAGAAACTGGCACTTGGCAAAGCTGATTCCACTCGTATGGCTGCGCGCTAGACAGTTTACATGCTTGCACTTCAATCCACGCCACGCATTAGACAGTTCACAGGCTTGCACTTCAACCCTGGCCCACTTGCCCAGCTGCCAACGCACACATGTCGGTAAACCATTGAACCGTTGAGCCATGTATTCCCGTCTAATACACGGCTTTCCCCTACCACCCAGGCCCTCGTTGTACTAGTACAGCTGTCACCTTCAATAGGTCCACGCAGCACATGACGAGAAAAATCAGCTCATAGATAGTAACGGGGGGGGAACTGGCTAGCCTGCGTTTCTTCAGGAGCTCGAGCTCTAGGAGTTCGAAGTAGTAGTTCGGAGGCCCAGGTTTCCCCCCGTTACTATCTATGAGCTGATTGGAAATTGATAGTGACGAGAATCAGCCCATAGATAGTAACGGGGAGAATCAGCTCATAGATAGTAAGGGGGGGGGAACCTGGCTAGGAGTTCGAAGTAGTGTGAAAACAATGGAAAAGTGGTATCGTCCTTCGCAGCATCCGCTAAAATTGGAAGGATACGCAGAAGATTTGCATGGCCCCTGAACAAGGATGACACGCATAAATCGAGAAAAAATGGTTCTGATTCTTTACTCGGAAAAAGAAAAGGGGGTATCGGCTGTGATACTAAGGGGGGGAGGGGGGGGGAGGGGAGCTGGCCAAGTGGTCATGGCCTTTATTGTTTTTTTTTGGAGCCTTCAAAATCCTTTTTTTTTTGTTTTTCAATAAAGAAACGGCGGAAAAGCTGTATATGAAAAGTAGCAGCAGGAAAGGCCGGCCCTCAGGAGTGGACAGCTCCAGGCATACTCCATAGGACACTTTCGACTGTAGTTGACCATGAGGGACAAAAGCATACTCCACCTGCTTTTGAGGAAAAATTTGATTTAAGACCTAGAGTACGTTGCCTATGTCATTTTAAATCTCTGACATGACGACCGTAATTGATTCATTGCACGCATATGTGTGGAAGTCAGCAGCATCCAGAAAAGAGTGCTACTGTGCACGAAGACCCCTAAACGAGAGATGAGAGAGAGTGCAGGAGGGCAAGACACCGTGAGAGACAGAGGCATACTCCAGCTGCTTTTGAGAAAATTGATTTAGAGCCCGAGTACGTTGCCTATGTCGTTTTGATTCTCTAACATGACGATTGTAATTGATTCATTTGATTCTCTAACATGACGATTGTAAAGACCCCTAAACGAGAACTGACAGAGAGTGCAGGGGGTCAAGACACTGTAAGGGACAAAGGCATACTCCACCTTCTTTCGAGGAAATTGATTTAGAGCTGAAGATGCGTATGCCGTTTTGATTGTCTAACATGACGATTGTGGTTGGTTCATTGTAGACATCTGTGTGGAAGTCAAAAGCATCCAGAAAAGAGTCCCAGTGTGCAAATGCCCTACGCGAGAAGTGAGAGAGAGAGAGTGCTGGAGATCTGTTAGAGGGCAAGAAATAAGGCCTCCCTCCGGCACGGCACTGCCCAAATGCGAGAACGACAAGAAGCTGAAGGGTGTATCTTGCCACCTTGAAGGAGATGCACGCGCAATTTCCACAAATTCGGTGACATCTCCAGCAAAGCCCATAAACGAATGCATTCTGTCCTTGGCCTCTAGTTTCATAAAGCACAGGATGCAAACTGGAGAAAAAAGTTAAAGGCACACAAAGACAAAGACAAAGAAAAAGAAAAAGAAAAAAGAAAAGAAAAAGGCTCCTCCAGAAAGGCAGAGATAGAAACCACTTAAGAAAGCTAGGGGGCAGTGATGACATTCACCATCAAGCGGAGCGGAACGGAAAACATATCTTCAGCGACACTATCTTAGGGTTCACTGAACGAAACCCGGAAACAGAGACAAAGACATCGCATCAACGCTTTTCTTTTTCTTTTTCTTTTTTCTGTGAGAATTTAAGCCTGTTTTCTTTTCTTTTCTTTTCTTTTCTTTTAGGTATACAGCCCTTTAGATACCTAAATCATGACAAACCTCCCTCCGGAAAAAAAATCATGACAGGCTGAGTGGGTTGCAATGGTTTAGGGAAACCTGGTGCTTTCGAGGTACTCTCGCCTCTGTGGAAAACGAGAGTCTGTGCTTGAAAAAGATTGGTTACTTAAACGGTAGACCAGTAGATTCAACCTACACACTCAGTTGCTGATCGGTCTCAGTAGACAGGCAGAGGTACAAGAGGCGGAGGGAGTGTGTAGGCGAACAGTAGAAGTCTCATGCTGAGACTACCACCGCTTTTGGTGAATTCTGTGTATTCTTGTAGTTTAACAGGTGGTTTTAGACGGTAGTTAAGAAGCTTAGAACTGAGTTTTCCCAGTGCGTGTTTTCGAAGCCGACCTCTTTAGACCAATCTTTTTTTTTCCTTGTAGTGCTTTGGGTATCCTGTGCCTTGTAGATGAATTATGTAGGAAAGGCGGATTTTTTTTCCTTTCATTTGCTGGGTTGTGGTGCTTTCTCGGCCGTGAAGGTGTAATTTTGATAGGGATGGTAGTTTTGGATTGTTTGGCTTTTTCGGGCCTTGTAGTCACTTTCAGGGTTGTGGACAAGACAGGACAGCTGTCTGTGTGTTGGCCATTTCTGTTCCTACCGGTAGTCATACTGCTCCCAACACCATTCTGAGCTGGGCTGTGTGAATGGACCAGAAATTGTTTGGCCAAACAGATTTGTCGCTGTTGCCCCCAGTATCTTTCAACAGCATCTTTTTCTTCTTCCGGGTTGTTATTTGAGGTATTCCCGGCCTCCCTTTGTTTCCTCAACTTTGCATAATGAGGAAGCAAGCCCTCAGAGGCCCTTCATTTTTTTGGGGGGGGGGAAACCTCCCTCCAACATTCCTGGCGCACAGAGCGAGACGGACGGGGCACTCAAAAGTCCTTCCGTGGGATGCAAGGGAAGTTTAACCCATTGCTACTATCGTCGAGCTAGCACATCAAGTTACATTATTAATTATTTAATATCATTCATTAAATCGAGTTCAGTTCACTTAAATTACATTCAAGTGATTCAACCAATGCCATAAAAACGATTAACATGGACAGCCGCACTACGTTCGACACTTTTCCCCAACACAATCTGGTACTGCACTTCCGCCGATACGCTCCCCCCCTCCCCCCCCCCCCCCCCCCCCCCCCCCCCCCCCCTTTTCCTGCTGATGTGAACCGACGTCCTCACTGTAAGCACGGAAACCACCACAAGCATCCCTTAAAAGAATGTATTCCTTCCAATACCAACAGAAAGGTAACACCAACAAATACAACACTTCCAGGACCTGAATCATCCCTCTTCAATTTGAAAACCGAACCAAATGCCAAATCAAAAGACTCAGCGCTAACTTTGCATGGGCAACAAGGACCAGGAAAAAGAGAAAAGCATTGTGGTGGAGACGGGGTGGCGAGAGGAGAAACAAATAAACAATTTGACATTCGAATTTGGATGTGGGAGAGAGAGAGAGAGAGAGAGAGAGAGAGAGAGAGAGAGAGAGACATGCGAAGCACAACTATCCTCTCTATATGAGAAAGAGGAGCCGATTTTATCAGAAGCCCCAACGAGGGAGTGAGAGAGCGGAGAGATACTGGACCTCTATAATATCCTGATATATTCTCCACAGATTGATCAGACAATGTCGACGTCCCGGTCTGAGCTAGGAAACCCAACGAGGGGAGGATCTGCGAGCAAGCGAAATTCATAACCCTGTTAGTACGGAGTACATAACATAAAACACGTTCGTTTCGGTTTTTTGAACCTTTAACCTTTCAAATCCATCACAACAAAGTAACAGAACACCGGGCGCAGCCACTTCCAAAAAAAACACAAATTAACAAAGGGAGGAAGGAGGGGGGGAAGGTAAACAAAAATCGACAATTCAAATTAGTCTTATCCAAAACGACAAACTCCTATCCCNAGAACAGAATCGAAGATTCAAAAATTGTCTTATCGAGGTGAAAAAAAAAAAAAAAGGGCTTATCCCAGCCACGGCAATCATCTTCAGCATACTCGTGATATTTGCCTTCTTAGCAGGAGGTATAAGGTAAAAGCCGAATTGTACCCGTTCATCGAGAGCAGATCACGTTACGTGACTTTTTTGATTCGGTGATGTGCGGAGGTATAAGGGAAAGGTCGAATCGTACACGTTCAACTACGGTAGAAATCAAATCGTACACGTTCAACCATCTCACTCAACCTGCCTGCTGAGTCACACCCCCCATTAGGAAACAAAACAAAACAAAAACAAAACAAAAAAGACCATACCTGCCATCTCACTCCACCATACTCCTGGATACTACAACGGAAACGCATCCCACACCCTATCGCTATGACCAGGAGCTTCTTGTTCTTTTTTTTTTTTTTTTTTTTTTTTTTTTTTTTTTGCTGAAGGGAGACAGCCTTGACATATCATCTTTGGCCTTGGCCGGTTCCAGGTAAATTCAGAGTTATATCACTCCAAAAAAATCCGATTGCATTCAAATACGAGCTCACATCTGTATTTCAACAGTCCACGGGTGTACCGATCATTTAAAACCCCTCAGATCAAACCCTATCAAACCCCCCACGCGCGCAATTCCATCGCATGGAATCCTTTTCCCCCTAAAACTGAGAAATGGAAAAACTATCTCGTCTCTTTTCTTGGAATACTTCTCCACTACAAATACTTAATAAATGGGAAAAAAACTAGGCTACCAGAGTGGCCCGGGTCCACTTGCCCGGCCGGGCCAAAAAGATATCAAAAAATAAAAACTAAAAATTACTTTTTTAATTTAAAATTTTATTTTAAATTTCGTAAAGAATTTCGATGTGACCCTTAGGCAAAAGTTGTTCAGTTTATTTTTCTGCATAACATAGTTTTTTTTCGGATTTTTTGGATTGCTCTTTTTTTCGTTTTTTTGGCTAGGACCTTCCCTGGTCCCTGCACGGCCGGGCCGCCCGGGAAAATAGGGTGACCCGGGCGGCTCGGCTGGTAGCCTAGGAAAAAAACTATTTTCCCATTTATCTTTTCATTCACTGACCGCACCCACGGGATCATCATCCTCATAGAACCACCCCGCGTCATCGTCCGTCACCATCATAGTCAATTTTTCCAGAGCCCAATCCGTTATTTTTCGTAAGCCGAGACTATTACTTTTTTTTTTCTTTTTTAGGGCGATGGCTTTGAGATATCATCATTGAACTGACCGCCGCAGGTAATTCAGAATTACTGTATTTTCTGTTCATCTGTTGATTTCAGCTTCGGTCTTTATTTCACCAGTTCATGGCGAACAACTTGACCACATGCATTGTATTTCGATGATGGCGTCGCAGGACCACATATTTATTTATTCTTTCGCGGTGGACTTCCATCCTTGTCATCCTCTTTTCCCCCATCATCGCCCACCCATCCAATCATGGAAATGGTCCTCCTCGCTCCATCGCAATCATCCTCGTCATCCGCCTCTTACAGCCTCACTCCATCACTCATCAAATGTACAAAATGACAATGAATCTTCCGGTAAAACACCCATAGATACACCGCCGTAATTTTTGTCTTTCGTGCGTTGGGACGATTGGTGAAGCGAGGCCCTTATCGCCTTTCCGCCATGCTGATCTTCTCTGTGTCGTTCTTTTTCCTTTTTTTTATGCCGATGTCCCGAAGAACTTCTTTCGTTTTCCTTCTATTTTTTTTGGTTTCGTTTTCCGCTTTGATCATCCACTTCGGGTCCGGTCATTATCATCCTCGCCTGCATCCAATCATCATTGCCTGCATCCAATCATCATCACTGCCGTTGTCTGTCCATATCGCCTCCGTCGGCACCATCATTCATCATCGTCATCTAATTACAGCTCTAAAAAAACTTCAGAGCACCATCATCGTCATCCGATCGCAGATACGAAAATCCGTATGATCGACACCATCATCATCATCGTCATGGAGAGACTATCAGCATCATCGATTCGTGCCCCTTGAATCGCTGACAGCTGCAAAACAGACGCCATTCATCCCGCGTACGTTTTTTCCCACTCAACCAGAGCCAGGAGAGCCTCCAACACCTTAGCAGATTGTGATTGTCCTGACTGCCCGGGAAGACATACATCCCCGATTTTCCATTTCCCAATTGATCGCCTCGACACAACAGCATTCGAACACACTTCACATCCTCTCTCTCTCCACATCCTCTCTCTCTCTCTCTCTCAAAACACACACATAAGCCGGATCACAGCTAATCTCTCCTCTCCCCTTGCGCGCGGAAGCATCTCTCTCTCTCTCTCTCTCTCTCTCTCTCTCTCTCTCTC